GACTGCTCGCTGCGTTGGCCGGCCTCTGCGAGTACGACGTCTTTGGCGAGGTGGCTGCCGACGGGAACGGCGCGTGGTACGCCGAAGCCACTCTTAAGGGGCTCGGGCTCGGCTTCTGCGGCTGCCTCTCCACCGTCTCGACGTGGATCAACGAGGTCAACACACTGCTTTCGCCGCGCCCGTCTGCAGAGGCGGCGGCGGGCTACGGCTGCGGCTGCGCCGGAGTCACGTACGCACTAGGCTCGGTCGCCCTCGGGCTGGCGGTTGGCGTGCCGGCCTTCGGGTGGTCCGAGTGGGCCTAAGAGTGGTGCGCTCTCCAGTCTGCCCGCCGCCCGGATCGCGGCGGCGAAGGCCTGGGGCGAGTGGGACTGCGGGGCGGGGCGCTCGCCGCGCAGGGCTGCCAAGGGGGGGGGGGGGGTCCCGAGAGATTCGCCGCGCGGGTGTGTCCCGGCGGGCGATGGTGGGCGCATGACAGAGAGCGGCGGCGGCGGTCCCTTCCGGCCGACGTCTCGAGGTCTCGAGGTCACCAGGCCCTCGAGGTGTCGCGGTCTCGAGGTCGAGGTGTCGTTCACGGGAGGCGCCGCATAGGGCGGGCGCGCGATCCCGGCCGCCAGGCACCGCGAGGGAGCGAGAGTCGAGAGAGCGAGATGGCGCGTGTACGTCTCGGGAGTAGTCCTCTCCGCTAGCGAGAGAGCCCGAATGCGTGCCCGGTACGTGTGTGTACGTCAGGTACGAGATATTGTCCCTGTGGTTCCGCGAGTAATTGAAGCTTTCTCTGTATGTGTTTGTACCGTGACAACAACATGCACATTTCACATTTGCATTTACATTTTACGTCCCTGTCCGCATGCTGCTTACGTCGCGCGAGACTCTCGTGTCTCGAGATATAGAGCCGTAGAGAGCGCCCCCCTTGGCAGAAGGCAGCCACCTGCGCGGAGCGCGCGCGCCCCGCCCGCCTCTCAGCCGCCCTTCCCCAGCAGGCGGCTACACAGAGACAAATGTCGACCCCCGCCGCAAACCCCTGACGCATTACCGTACCGCTGATTGCGCCACATCATCCCTTCCCACCACCGAACGGCCAACGGCAAATATCTGAGAGGTGAGGCCAGCTTGCGCAGGACGGACAGTCTCGCGTTATTTTGTGCGTGGAGGCGCACGCACCGCCGCTGAAGCGCCACACCATCCCGTTGGTACGACTGTCAATGTGTGATGCCCTGGCTGCCTGCCCTCAGCAGCCGCTCCAAGCGGCTCCTGCAACGAGGCACGCGACCCGCCCACCATGCGTTCCATGTCGTGCCACCCTGTGAGGTGAGAGGTCACCTCGCGGCGGCGACTAGGCCGCCTTTGCCACGACCTTGTCTTTCAGCGCCGCGCCCTTGCTCAGCACCTTGTCAATTACCTCTTGATTCTTCAGCAGAATCGGCTTCAATACCTGTGGAAGTGGGAGGAGGTCGTCGGAAGTGTGCCGCAACGTGGATGGGTAGGTTAGGCTGGGAGCCTTGTAGACAAGTTCGGAGCCGCCCAGCGCGAGGAAGACGGTCGTTCCCAGTAGTACCTCGCCCCAGAACGGGATGAAGAAGAAGACGTTGCTGAACCTGCCGCCGGATGCGATAGCTGGTCAGGGCTCTTCTCGCCCACCCCTGCGGCTATGCGGGAGGTGGGGCTGTACAGGGATCCCGCAAAGTTGACAAAGGAGTAGGCGAACCAGAACGTGAGCCACTTGACGTCGTCGTCGTGGCCATCGCTCTCCAGCGCCTATGGCAGACGAGCCTCCCAGCTTTCCACTCTGGCAGTTGCATCAGCCAGGAGCTCCCGCACGCGCTGGCGCGAGTCATGGCGCATGCAACGCGTCTGAATGCTCGCCTCGCCTCGCGCAAATGCGACCGTCCTCGCAGCCGACAGTCCACCGCCTGCTAAAGAAGCACAGCGACGAATGCGGCACCGGCGACACATGGCAGGCTGGTCATGACGCAGTTATAGGGTGTTGTGTGCCGTCAGAGGGACTCTCTGTGTGTCAGGGATAGTCAGGGCTGTCCATCAGAGCTTCACTAAGCTCGGAGACACCCCATTAGCGCGGCTCGACCTCTTTGAGTCACTGCCTTCCCGGCGGTTTGGCTGTAGAGCCTCTACAACAAACTCTACAACAAAATCGCGCTCTACATCGCTCTACAACGCAGGCGCCTCGTCACGCGGCGGATGTAGAGCTCTACAGCTCTACAGCGCTCCAGAGCGCTCTACATCTCTACAGCTCTACAGCGCTCTACACTCTACATCCTCTACACCCTCCCTCAGCCCACAGCCACACGCCTCAGAGTGCCTGTGCGCAGACCCGCGCGAGGACAGCTGACACTTTAGACTTATCAGCGGCAAAACGGCCGGCGGGGGGGGAGGGGAATTCACAAGCAAGCGGAGGTCCCGCGGTGTGCCGTGGACCCAGACACACTTGGAGATTTTCCTCTCTGCTCCCGGCGCATTTCTCGTTTTCCTGCGTCTTTTCTCTGCTCATCTCTGGCGCCAGAGAGCGCCGCTCGCGCCGCCCGTGTGGCATGCTGTCCGCGCCGAAATCGCGGCCGCTGGGCTTGCGATACGCCAAGGGGCCCGACGGCACGCGCGGCTTCGCAATGAAGCGTGGTCGCCCGTTGCCGGGCGTGCTTCCCGCCGCGCTCGAGTCTGTGCCGTCCGACGCGGCTGCAGACCTGCCAGGGCTGCCGCCTCCGGGCGCGCGCAGCATCTCGGCCAGCACAGGCTCCGAGTCCTCCTGCTCCTCCCTCGCGCGCGCCGCGACGGCCGCGCACGCTGCTGACGGTGCTGACCCGCGGTGTGATGGCCGCTCATGGGCTTTGCTCGCAGCCGGACCCGTCGCTAGCCGCGGCGGGGAGGCGGACCTCGCTTCGCTGGGTGGGCTGCCCCCGCCGCCGTCGCGTGGCGGCGGGCCCACCGGTGCGCCGCCGCCCGGGCTGTCGCCGCCTCAGCTGCCCAGCGGCGTGCCGCAAGCCGCGCCGGCGCAGGCTCTCTCTTTGCCGCAGGAGGCAAAGGGGGGCGCGGGGCCGCCGCAGAGCCCTTCGTCCGACCTCAAGTCGCTCATCGGCGTCGCGTCGCTCTCAGGGGGCGCCGCCGCCACGACCGTCTCCGACCTCCTTCTCTCCCCGGCGCCCGCGCCCGCGCCCGCGCCCGTGCCTGCGCCCGCAGCGGCGCCGCGCACGAGAGCCGCAAACGAGGCCGGCGGCGCCGGGTCACGACTCGGAATGTGGTGCAACGCGGAGGAGGACTCGCCGGGCGGCGACTCCTCTCCTCCCCCGCCCTCCTCCGGCGCCTCCGACGCCGGCCAGAGCCGCCTCGGCATGTGGTGCACCGCTCCGACGGCTACGAGACCCGACTTTGGCGGCTCGCTCGCGCTGCCCCACTCGCTCGCCGAGCCGCCGCCGAGCGAGCCGCCCGCCGCCGCCGAGGCTCCTGCACCTCGTGGCCACGAGGTCAGCTTGGACCCCGCAGCGTGGCTCCGCCACCAGCAGCAGCAGCTCCAGCGGCAGGCGGCCGGCGCCGCGACGGAGGCGCAGGCGCAACGGGAGGCGCAGGCGCAGCGGGAGGCGCAGGCGCAGCGGGAGGCGCAGGCGCAGCGGGAGCAGCAGCAGCAGCAGCAGGCGCAGCAGCAGCAGCAGCAGGCGCAGCAGCAACAGCAGCAACAGCAGCAGCAGCAGGCGCAGCAGCAGCAGCGCGATTTGCTTCTCATGCAGCAGCAACAGCAAGCGAGGGCGGCGCAGGCGGCGCAGGCCCAGAGGGAGCAGAGCTTGCAGCTGCAGCAGCGGATCGAGCAGGCGCAGGCGCAGCACCGTGCGCAGCAGCAGGCGCAGGCGCAGGCGCAGCAGCGCGCGCAGGAGGCGCAGTACCAGCAGCAGCTCGCGCAGTACCAGCAGCAGCGCGAGGCGCAGGCGCAGGCGCAGCAGCGGCAGGCCCAGCAGCAGGCCCAGCAGCAGGCCCAGCAGCAGGCCCAGCAGCAGGCCCAGCAGCAGGCCCAGCAGCAGGCGGTGGCCGCGCAGTTGGCGCAGCTGCAGCAGCAGTCGCACCAGCTGCTCAACGCGCTCAATCAGCAGCGGCACCAACTCACGCCGCAGCAGCAGCAGCAGTTCGAGGTGCAGCTGCAGGCGTGGCAGCAGCAGCAGCAGCGGCTGGCGGCCATCCAGCAGCAGACCGTGGCCGCCCCCGCTGCAGCGTCCTTCATGCCTCCGCCGCCGCCTCCGCCGCCGCCGCCGCCCCCTCCGCCGCCGCTGCCCCGCATGATGGCTCAGCCGCCGCCGCCGCCGCCCCCCCCCCCTCCTCCGCAGCAGCCGCCGCCGCCGCAGCAGCAGCAGCAGCAGCAGCTCAATCTTCTGCTTGGCAGCCTCGGCGGCGCGCCCTCGGCGATCCCGCCCGCGCCGGCCCAGGCGCGGGTGAGCGCGCTCCAGCAACAGATGGCCCAAGTTCAACACCTCGGCCTGCAGCAGCAGCTGGCGCTCCTCCAGTCTCAGCTGCAGCCGCCGCTGCCGCAGCCGCCGCCGCCGCCGCCGCCGCCGAGCCAGCCGCCGCTCCCGCCGGGTCAGCCGCCGCTGCCATTTCAAGGCCAGCTGCCGGGGCAGCGCTTCGAGGCGGGGGCGGGCGGGGCGAATGCGCCGTCGCAGGCGCTGGCCGGGTTCCAGGCGCCGCAGCCGCCGCTGCTACAGCCGGCGCACGCCGCGCTGCCCCACGCCGGAAGCTACGGCACTCTGAATGGCCTCGGGGGAGGCTGCGCCGGCGTGATCGGCGGCGGCGGCAGCTTGGGCGCGTTGCCGGGGGCCCTCCCCGCATCCTCACCGCTCGGGGCGCTGCCGGGCGCAGGCGCGGCTGGGTTGCCGCAGGCGCCGCAGGATGGTTTGCTCGAGCAGCAGACGTTGCGCCTGAAGAGCTTGCTCGGCCTCGGAGGCCTCTGAGGTGCGCCGAGAGGAGCGGGGAGGATACGGGGGGGGGGGGGGGGGCCCCGGGAAGACCCCAAATTAACTTCAAAGGTGCCTCCCGTCAAAAAATGCTGAAATGGCCCCGGATCACTTCTGAACCCCCCTTCCTCTTGAAACCCCCCCCCCCCT